CCTGCAGGTACGTATTCGGAATCACGATAAAACTACGTCGACCAATTTTTCTTTCAGAAAATAAAGAATTAAATAAAAAATTGTTTCTTAATAAAAAACTGCAGTTTACGTTTGGTTGTCTTAATTCATTTTAAAGTGATTCCATCTAACAAAGGAACCAAATTTGATTCAGTAGAATTAAAAAGCATTTACTATAAAATATAGTAAGGAGAACGACAGTTTCAGATTCTTAGCAATTTTATTATCATTATCCTCTAAAAATCGTCATCGTGACGAAGTCCATCAGTTGGATCGATTTTCGTAGGTCCGGACCCGTCGTTCAACCCGAATCTATTTTCCGAGGACGAGGAGGAATCGTCCCAGGAGTTCCAGGCTGCCACGAGGAGCACGTCCGAGAGGCAACCGCCACCGATTGCGCCAATGACACCGCGAAACGCGCGGCTCAATTCAAATCGTCCGAAGTCTCAGGTTTCCAATCAATTCATGGCCAGCGAAGCCCTGCCCTCGACTCTGTCCAGGGTCGACAATTTCGAGAACGAGCTACCGTACGTGGACCTCCAGGAAATCGGGAATCTGTACGAAAATTTGAGGAGCGGCACGACGAACACTTATCGGACACCGCCGAGGCACAACCCGCCTCGATGCTGCGACGTGCCGGCGTTGCAGTCACCGAAGAACGCAGTCGCGCCCACGCAGACTATAATTGCGACGTCGAACACGGAAACGGATTATACGAACAATATTCAAAGAATGAAAACCGCCCTCGCCGACCAACAGCCGGGGTTGATCTCTAAGAAGGAGCTCGAGAATAACAAGTTCAATCAGATCTCTCAGGACGATAAGAACGTACTGACGTCCTGCCCGTCGACTATCATTCCCATGTCGATGCACAACGGGCAGACCCCGAGTACGGAAGCCTCGAGCAGTCACGTTTGCTCCCAGGGTTACATCGTAAACGGTTTAGACACGAACAACGGCTGTTCCCAACCGATATTTCTTAATAGCCTGCACGGCGTAGCGTGTTCGAGCAACATGAACGGTATCCAGGGTAAAAATAATCACAACGCCAGCAGTACGGCGAGCGTTAACCAAACGTCTTCAGCAAACGCCCAACACGGATCGAGTAACGGTCCCTTTAGCAAGAACGGCATTCACTTGTCCAACAATCATTCGCCGGCCTGTTCTTATCAATTCCCGGAGAACATCGATCAATGCATTGGACAAACTTGTTTGTATTGCACGTCGAAAGTGAAAGATCCCAAGTGTCACGAGTTGTACGGGAAGACGAACGGCGGTCAATCGAGTGCTTGCAGCACTGCGAACGCTACCAGCCGCGCGGACGAGATGCGTTTCATCGATGAGGAAGCTCGCGCGGAAGCGGAAGCGTTCGATCAATCGCGAGTCGTTCACAGAACGCCGACGGTGGTCAGCATAGGTCCTTTATGCATAAACGATCCTATAGTTCGAAGCTGCAGCGTCGGTTATTTGGACATGGTCGACGCTCAGCTGGTCCCTTGCGACGTCGCTTTGAACATGCTGAGGAAGGAGGCACCTAACAAAAGACTGGTACTGGTGTCGAGAAAGACGAAGAGGAGAAAAAAGAATAAAGCGCAACAGGAGATAGGGCAGCAGACCTCCAAGTCGCCGAGGCTCCGGAACTGCGGTAAATCGAAGAGTCTGGACTCTAGCGACATATTCCCCACTAACGAGCAAATAGCTCTGCCGCCTAAGTTGCCCGAGCATGTTGAAGAAGCGACGGGAGCCACGAATCTCGAAGCCGTCGAGGACAAGAGTAACGAGTCTTTGGAAAAATCGGCGGAAGTAATTGAGGCGCTGAGTGAATGCGCGCATATCGTAGAACACGTATATGCGGTTAATTCTAGCGAAGTTAAGCCAAGCCGATTAAAAAGTTGCAATTCCTCTGCTAGGTAAGTAAATGATTTATAAATAAACTGCGAATTTTTATGCAAAAATAAAATTTAGTTCACTTATTGTTTAAGCAATGTAATATCCATTCACTTCTAACATTTTCTGTATATCTTGAAGAATCATACAGCATTTTCTTGTATATTCAATTTCTTTAGAAATGCAACTTCGAGGTTTCCATATTGAATTCTTTATCTGATATTCTGAACGATTTCTATGTAGGCCTTCGGTACCACGTTCTTTTGAAATGAAAATTGTTTACAGAGGATCTAGTCCAAGCGGTTCGTTAGCATCATCGTTAGACGGACTCGCGGCTAGACTTCGAGACTTCGACGAAAGTCACTCCCTGCCACCGCCGTCGCCTCGTCCATCCGCCAGGTAAAGTGCATTAATCAATTCGTATAAATTCGATCGGTCGACCTTTCATCGGTAATTGACATTTCTCTATGTAGACTACCGAGAAGTTCTCCCAGCAGTCCGGCGCCTTCGAAGAAAGGTAAAAGGCCGGCCTCCGCCTCGCCAATTAGAAGAAGACTTTTGTCGAGTCCATTATTAAGTAGAAAAACGCGTAAAAGTCGCGGCGAAAGTTCAGACGAGGAGGGGCTATTGCAAGACGAGTCGTCGACGAACTATCGAGATCTGGAGACGTTCCAAAAGGCGCAATTGCGGCAAAAGGTTAATAAATAAATCATTGAATCAATAAATTTGTTAATGAATCTTCAAGAAAATT